TCTGTGGTGGTGAGTATTCATTCCCTCTGCTCAACAAATATTACCCAGTGACCAGATGTGGTCTCTGCAATCCAGTGGGCTGGACATGGATACTAATTTACAAAGGATGGATACATGGATACTACATGGATACTAGTTTACTAAAGCAAGAGTAAGGCCAAGGCCCAGGGAACAAAGGATGGGCAGAGGCTCAGGACAGAGTATAAAACATGCTCTGAGCTTTCAGAGGGATGGACAGGTACCTGCTAGCGTGCACAGCTCTTGCTTTCCCTAAGGCAGGGATTGCATTTGGCTACATGCCACAAGGAACTCAACTGTGGTATTTTAACCTTATTTTTCTCACCTCTTAGGGGACAACGAATCCAGAGGTCTGCAGTTGTTCAAGAATTCCTGGAATCCAGTTCCTGCTCCACCATCCTCATGGTCAGAAGATGGCTGCTCAGCCCCAGACATCACACCCACATTCCAGGCAGGAGGAAAAGGTAAGGGCAAAAGGCAGAAGGCATGGCCAGCTGAGTCAGCTCCTCTTTATCAATGAAAACAAAGCTTTCCTAGAAGTCTCATCTAATAGAATAACCTAGTTAGATCCCGCTGACCAGAAAGGGGCCATATTGCCACGTTGGTGTAAGAGTCTACTAGAGGTGGGAGTATCTTAAACAGGCCTCAGTATGAGCCAAGTGGATCGGGACAGAAGAGGTTTTGTTAGTAGGGAAGAGGGAGAGAGTGGATATTGGACAAGTAACTTGCAGTGTCCAGCAGTTCTCAGCACACCTGGCAGGTCTGTCATTAGTGCCATTTATTTGAACATTCACAGCAGCTCCAGCTCCTCTGCGAGTTGACTGAGGGGGCTCAGAAACATCCCGGTGTCAGTGTTTTCTGGCTCATTCATGACTTCAGTTGACAATACTGGTTGCACCCCCACCACCTCACGAGACAGGTATGGCACTGGGTGTTGGGTGAGCAGTCAGACTTGGTTGGCATCTGGTCCATGCATCCAGCAATGCCTCCCATCCTGGCAAGAGTTATCGTCTTCACAGAGGGTAAAGAGGCTATTTGCAACATACTTGTAAAGACAAGATCATGACTTCTGGCCACACTCATTAGTTTGTGGCAAATTCTTAGATGCTGATTCCAGACACCTGGGTGCATTGGGTGTCTCCTCAATCATTCCTCTCTGTGTGCCTTGGTGGCAGATGAGCCATTCGCTCAACAATGCATTGCCTGTTACTCTGCTTCAGCTGGGCTGCTGGAAGCTGGGGAAACCCTACGAGGCAAACACCAATGCTTGCCTCCTTGGGACTCACTCCTCCCTTCTTCCTTCCTAAAACAGACTCTCAATTCTGTTCCAAGTAGCAATTTTCTCATCTGCTGGGTGATGGATCATAATAGGCCTAAGTCAGACATGACTATGCAATTCTCTGCTTCCCAGCCTCACCCCCTCCCCCTACCTCTTCCCACTGGGAGTGGTATTTGACCCAGTTCTCCCCATGAGAACTTCTGCAAGGATTCTGAGAAAGCATTTGCATTCCTGATACAAGGAAGAGATGCAGAGGGTGCTACCACTCCCTCCTTTTTCTTGCTTGCTATGAACTCAAATGCAATGCCTGGAGCCACAGCAGCCAGTCTGCAATGATGAGGCAATAAACTGACAAACTAAAGATGGTAGAATGATAAGAATGAAATTTAGGCATGAAATGCTGCCGCTTGTCTCCTGCTGCAGCCCTCAACCACCTATCTCTTCACTGTTATGTGAGGCAAATTAAGCCCCCATTCATTTAAGAGCCTGTTAATTGAGTTTCGTCCTGGCCAAGAACATTCTAAATGTTAAACCGAGTGACAGAGCTGCTGGCCTCATGAATCTTGCAGTTTAAGTAAGACAGATGACTGACCAGAAAATATAAATTCTCCAGTGAGGAATCAGAGTGTGGTTAAGGGCAAAAAATGGCCCTAAACTCACCGTGAGAGGGAAGGCTTTTCTGAGGCAGTCTCTTTAAATGAAGTCATCAGAAGCAAAGCTCCTCTTTCTTCAGTGTCCGAATTCATCGGGCCATGTCCAGACCCCACATCCTCCTGCCCCAGCAGACATTTCCGCTCACTCGTCACCCTCTGCTCCAGGAGCGAGGGCAGGTAAGAGCTCCCACCAGGATACCCCTCACTCTCCCACCCTTGTGGGGTTTTGCCTCCAAGCTGGTCTGGGCTTTGGCAGAGCTGTGCCCGCCAGGAGAGAACAGGTCAGTGCATCAGCATCAGAGGCAGCCTTGGGCCGGGCTGACTGTTAATTATTTACAAAGCAGAGAAAAAGACACCACTCAGCCACTACCCCACGCTAAACTATGGTGTAGAGAACGCTCCGTTTTTAGCCTAAGGAAAACGGCTTAACCATCCTATTTCAGACATTACCATGCACCAGTGATCATGGCCATCGGTGATTTATCCTGAAAATAAAACTACAGCGTGAGAGTGTATGCAATTACGTTCGAGTGCTCGCCAGAAAGTGCGCGGACAGGAAACACAACACGCAGGGTGTCCTCGGAACGACGCATCAGCTGCACAAACGCCCCGCGCTGCGGCCCACAGTGGCTCCGCCATTCAGAAGGTTCGCCACAGTATTTGCTACCCTATCGGGGGAGACTATTTTAAGCCTAATTAGCGTGAAATTTCTAGAATGCACACGCTTTTCATTTAGACATAAAACAAAATGCCACGACATTTCTTCCATCCATTTATCATAAACAAGTTAATTACGGTGTAACAAGTCTCTCCTTCTGGAATCTGGATGTTTGGGGCTGCCTGTGAACTGACTCAGGCAGAGAAGGAGCCACAAGGCAGTCGTTAGTGTCTTATGGCGCACTTGGAATAAAACGGGGACTCTGTGAAGCTCTGCTTGTCAAATTAAGGTTCAGCTCTCTCCGTTGGAATGACTCAATTATGAGTAGTCATTCACTATCTAAGCTGATTTCTACCAGAAGAACAGAAGTATTCTGCCACTCATTTCTTTTTGACACACCCATCTTGACTGTGGTCTTGTGCTTCGCAAAGTTTTCTGCACAAATAGATTTTTATCTGCCCTGGTTCGAGTGTATGTCAGTGTTGGCTTTTGCCTCCAGATGTGTAAAATTGTTTCTAAGATAAAAAAACAGCTCCATCCCTGAGAAAGGCGAGGAGGTGGCACACACGGGGGAGGGAGATATTCTGCGATTTTCCCCTTCACCAGGGTTCGGCTGGGCTTCATCTCGGGTGTAAGTTAAGTGCTTAGAATATGAGTCTCGCGTCCACAAAGCCCATGAGCTGGTTCAAGTTCACCCACGATGACGGACTTTTTGTCCTCCACCAGGTGAAAACCACGTGGGTATGTGGGGCAGATCAGCATCCAGCCAGAGATCAATGCTCCCCCCACCCAACACGGGCCAAGAGCAGAGGGCGGTTCAGCCCGGACCCCCACGGCCCACCAGGAGAGGGGGAGACGCTAGTCAGAAGCCTCACACTTAACTGTGAAAAGCATGAGCAGCTGTCATTCTCTTCCGCAGTAGGTGGCATTTGCCGTTATGAAAACTGAGGCACTTTTTCTTCAATTTCTGAGTAAGCCTGGTCCTCCAAGATCTTATCAGGTTCTGCTGCAGAGGGAGGTGGCAAGGATGCCAGCCTCCGGATGCGCAAACGGCAGTGCAACGCCCTGAGCCTGCGAGAATCTTCCGGGCCTTCTCCTGAGCACACAGGAGCTCTCATAAACCTGCAGATCCTGAAAGACGGTCTACGCTTTCTAACTCTAAAATGACACACACCGTGCAGTGAACAGAGCATCTCTTGAAAGCTCTTCCCATATCCGCCCACTCATAAAGCAAAGCCATCCTGCCTCTAGGCCAGCTGCCAAGAGGTTATTTTTTGTTTTTGTTTTTGTTTTGTTTTGTTTTGATAATCAATGAAAGAGTCAATAGTAGCAAACCTCTATTTTGACAGTCAACTCAGGGGACAACAAATAAGTAGGAAAAGTTGGACTTGGTGCGAAATAAGACCCTGATTCGTATAATTAGTCGCACACAGTCAGTCAACAAGCTGTCTCCAGGAGAGGGTCTGAAAGACCCCCCCCGTGTGAGTGTGCCCCCACCCCCATGAAGGATCTGTTGTCAGAGCTTAAGGGAAAACTATTTCCTAAAGCAGAAGTCTGGGGGTAAAGCCAGTGGCCTGAGGACGGCTTGGTCGTGAGACCGAGATGTGGCTTTGATGCTTTGCGAAAGTTTGTTCCCTCCATTGCTTTGAAATCGGTTAAACGCAGTGGCTTCTGGGAAACTGGTGGGGGATGGAAGGCACGTGGCCCAGGTGGTCGAGCTACTTGAGGTGCCACTTTGAAATCTCAAGGAAGAAGGAGGTGATGCATTTCCCCTCCCGTGCAAACCCAAAGTGTAATGAGTTTGTCTTGAAAGGGAGACTGATCTACTTGCAGAGTGGTCTCTTGTCCTTTGAGCTTTGAAGCTGTCAGTGACTTCCCCATCACAGGCGTGGATATCACCCGGCAGCTACGGCAGAGCCAACGGGTAGTTCCCCCTGCATGTGTGTTTCCGTGTTGTCAGTGGGACGGGGATGAAAACGAACGCCACATTTGTGAACAGAACGTCTGTGGGCTTATTTACCGCATTCCCAACAACATCGTCTGCTTTATCATCCATTTCAAAGCAGGCATAATTTAAGAACCCAGAATTTCATACACAAAAATACTTGGTAAGAAAGTCTCTCTCTGCACACTATTTGGGTGATGCTGCATCCGAATTCCAATTTGTTGCCCAGGAAATGATTCACCTCACTCAGAAAATGACAAGGACTCTGAATCATTCACCTGGGATGCAAAAGGCCATGAGGTCGACCAGTCTCTACCTCCCTTGACCCCTGGGCCATCATTTTGCAAAGAGCCTGGCTCAGAGCCAGCCCAGCCTCTTTTTCCATGGGTGGCCATGCTTCCCTAATCCAAAGCACGGAATGCCATTTCATCTCCACGTCTGCCTTACCTTTGAGGACCTTCTCTCCTTCCAGAATATTCTGGGAGATTAACGCTGTGTAATCTTCTTCAGAGAATCCCGCCTTGCAGGTCTCCCTGGCTGTAAGATCCCCATTGTGGGCCTGAGAACGGAATGAAAAGAAGTTAGGACAAACAAAAGTTCACAGAAATTTCATCCAGCCAAAATTAAGCAGGGCCTGTTGCTTGCAAGGTCTCAGGCTATGACAAACTTCCATCAGCCACAGCCCCACCCAGATGTAACCCAGGGTCCGCCCCCGTGGTCTCCATGTCCTCCTGAAGGGGGGGAGGTGCTGCAGAGGGGACAGGCCAGTTGACCACAAGGCTGAGGGCCTTGACACATGGCGGAAAGGAAGGTCTGAGGACTGTCCAGGGGGAGGCAGGAGGGCCAGGGCTTAGCCAGTGGAGACGAGGAGGAGGGGAGGCCAAGGCAGCAGGCTCCTGCGAGGGGCCATTTCACCTCTGCCCCAGTGCCCAGGCGCTGGGTGGGGTGGACCAGGAGGCTGCTCCTCCCTGTGGTGGTCAGGGAGGAAGGAGAGGGGCAGAGCAAGAAGTCAGGTTCTCGGAGACTCAGCTCCGAGCTCTGCTCTGAGGGAGGCTGCAGGAAGGCAGGGGAGGTTTCCACCCTCCAGTCCTCTTCCTCCACTTCTTGGAGCCCCCATCTCCAGCCTAACCAGGCCAGAGAGCTCCCCTGACTGACGGGGAAAGGTGGGTGTCCTCCTGTCCTGTCCTCCAGAGCACGCTGGGCTTTCCTGCCCAGTGGGAGGTCTAGAGCTCTGGGCACCAGGAGGGCAGGGAAGGGGGGAGGTGGGCCAAGGGCCCCCTCCCAGGCTGCAGGTCCACCGTGCAGGGATGGGGAGTGGAGGGAGAGACTGCATGTGCAACAAGGAAGCCAGCCGCAAGACAGGAGAGGGAGCAAGACGGCTCCGCTCCCAGGCGATCACAGGGA